CCCCCCATGTCCCCCTCTCCCCCGTGTCCCCTCCAGTCCCTGCAGAGTTCTCAGTGACCGGTGAAACAGGCGAGTTGGGGGTCCAGGTTATGCAGGAAAGGCTCTGCTGCTGTTCCCAGTGTTCCACTTCCCTGGAATCCCATCTGCAGCCAGCTCTGCCCAGGCACAGCTGGGATCTGGTGCCCAGTTCTGGGCTCCTCAGGACCAGGAGCTGCAGGACAGGCTCCAGCAGAGGCCACAGAGATGTTGAGGGCTCTGGAGCGTCTCTGGTGAGCAGAGACTGCGGGAGCTGGGCCTGGGCAGTCTGGAGAAGGGAAAGGCTCAGAGGGGATCCCATCCATCCACACAAATCTCTCCAGCTGGGCCAGGAGAAGGGGCCACACCCTGCCCAGAGCCAGGAGCCAAGCAGCAGTGGCCACAGAGCAGAAGGCAGCAAGCTGCAGCTGAGCAGGAGGAAGAGGCTGGAACAGCTGCCCAGGGGGGCCTGGAGTCTCTGGACACATCCCTGTGTCACCTGCTGCAGCTCACCCTGCCCTGGGGGATCTCCAGAGCCTCCCAGCCCAGGCACTCGGTGTCCAGGTGGCTCCAGAAGGCCACTGAGTGCCCCAGAGTGGCTGCTGTTGCCTTCTGCCCTCACTGATGTATTTGCAGCTGGTGGTTGGTGTTCCTCTGGCCACTGTCACCAGTGCAGCTCTGGGGAAATCCAGTGTGAATCTCACAGTTTCCTGTTTTACCTGTGTGAAATAATTTGCCAGAGATCCTGGAATTCCCAGGCTGGACTGAGTTGGAAGGGCCTTAAAGGAACCTCCCATTCCACCTCCTGCAGTGGTCAGGGACACCTGGCCCTAGAAGGTTCAAGTCTTGAGTGGACATTGGATGTATTCACTCAACAGAATAGTTCCTCTCAATTTTTGTTTTTCCACATAAAACACAATTTTATGTAATTGGGAAGAGACTATTTCCTACCACATCTGAAAGACAAGATCAGCCACCTCGTGTGACAGGAGGGAACTCTCAGATGTTTGAGAATTAATTCCCCTTGTCCCAGGGTTTACCTGCACGCCAGTGAGAGAAAATGTGACTTAATCTGCTGCAAAATCCCCAGAATGTCTCATTTTCGTGTCCCACAGAGGAGTTTTCCCGGGTCAGAGAGGAGGTGCCCCTGGAGCTGGTGGAAGCCCACGTGAAGAAGGTGCAGGAAGCAGCTCGAGCCTCGGGGAAGGTGGATCCAACCTTTGGGCTGGAGAGCAGCTGCATCGCGGGCACCGGCCCCGACGAGCCCGACAGGATGGGTGAGTGCTGCATCCCACGGATGCTGCAGCTGGGGAAACCTGGGGGCATTTTCTCCTGAGTCACGATGAGCCCAAAATTCACCCCCAGCAGGAGATGGACCTTGTGGGTAGGGAGAAGGGGGTGGGTTGTTCTGCTCACTGCAGGATTGACTGGGACTCTGAACAAAGGAATTCAGGATATATATTCAGGATATAAAACCCAAATACCTTGGGTTGTAGGAGTTTGTTTTCCTGCTCTCACTATGTGGAAATGCTGTTGCTTGGGATGCACAGAGTGGACTGACTGAAAATAGCAGAGCAGGAATTTCTGTTAGCTGGGGTGTGGGAGGATGCTGCCTTGGTGGTGTTAGAGCAGGCTGAGGGGTTTGGGCAGTGTTTTAAGGTGAACCTGGTACTCTGGGTGTGTTGCTCACTGTGGAGGCAACAGGAGAGGAATTTCTGCTGAAGTGCTGACACATGGTAATGCAGTCCTGCCTCTGGGCTGGAATTCTGCTGGGCATTACCTGTGTGAGTTAACAAGCTCTGGTTTCATTTCTGGTGTGTTCAGCAAATATTCTGCTATTAGCTCTCTTCTCTGCAACCCTGGCTGGTGGAAATGGTTCCTCCTTGCTCTGGAGTGTCAAAGCAGCTCCCAGGGAAGTGAAACCCTGCGTGCCCCTCACTGTTGGCCCCTGGTGGCTCTCCCCAGCAGGAGGAGCAGACACAGTTCACTCCATCCCCACGGCTTTCTCAGGCTTTGCTCTCCTCGTTTGGTTACAGGTCTGCTGCCTTTTATTTTCCTCTCAGCCCTGCTGGCTCCTGCTTTGTTCAGCTTATCACAAATGATTTCAGTGAATTTAGTGACTGGAGGTGGAAAGGCGTGTCTGGCTTTGGGTGAAGCTGGGCAGGGTGTGATGGAGCTTGACTGGGTGGCTGGGTTTGGGATGTGCATGGCACAGCTGACCTGCTGTCACCCCATCCAGGGACACAGCAAGGTGCCAGACTGTGGGGTGGCATCACAAGGGACTGGGCTTGGTGCTCCTCACTTATCAACTGCTGCCCATGGAGGGCTGCTGTTTATAGCACTTCATGTCCACTGCAGAACTACCCCGTGCATCAGATTGCAAAATGCCATTTAAATCACCAAGATGGTTTTTAATTAGAAGAGAAGCAAACAAACCCTTCTGTCACATATCTGAGTTGTGCACTCAGTGGGACAGACTTGCCATGAGGCAGCTCGCTGCTGAGGGCTGGTGTGCACTGTGTGCTGGAAAGGGAAGAGAAACATCTGGAACATCTGCTGCTCCCTGTTCCTCAGAGCTGCCAGCAGGCATTGGAGCTCTGCTGGAAGGACAAGGCTTTGGGGTTTATTTACAAGTCAGCTATAAACCAAATCTCTGTGTTACTCTGTCTGGGGCTGAGTTTAATTTCATAGTGGTTTTAAAATAATGTCAGCTTAAGTTTAAGTTTTCTTCCAGTCTTTGTTCTCCTTCCCCACATTCTGCCAGTACAGGTGTAAGGATTTCAGAGGATATTTCAGCTGGAAAAGCCCTCCAAGGTCACAGAGTCCCAGCAGTGCCCGATCCCCACCTTGTGCCCAGCACTGAGTGCCTCCTCCAGCCCTTCCTGGGACACCTCTGGGGACTGGGACTCCCAACCTCCCTGGGCAGCCCCTTCCAGTATTTAATAACCTTTTCCATGAAAGAATTCCTGCTGATGCCCACCCTGAGCCTCCCCTGGAACGTTCTGAGGCCATTTCCTCTTGTCCTGGGACACGTTTGCCGCTTTGAGTTTTCCCCATTGCCAGGTTGCAGGTTGGCCCTCTTTGATCCTTTCTCTGTGAGAATTTGGGCCCAGGCTGGAAGTGGGGGCTCTCTGGGGGGTCTCAGGGCAGATCCCACCCCGCAGTTATTTGGGAGTGAGCAGCACAGGGAGCTCAGCCCAGCCCTGCCCCGGCGGCGTTAATGCGATTTGTACTGGGCTGTGACTAATGGAGTAAATTAGGACAGGAGCAGATGGTTCTCCCTGGGGGAGCTGCTCAGCCTGAGTGAACTGGGTCACTCACAAACGTGTGGTGCCTCCCACCCCCAGAGCTGGGCATGGCACCCCCAGTGTGGCACAGATTGTCCCATGGGGTGCTCGGACACCGGGGCTGGACCTCAGCACGCTGTGCAGGGCTGGAAATATCTGCCTGGGCTTCCAGGTGGGAATGAGAGCTCACTGCCTGCTGTGGTGTCATGCAGTCAAGGGATGCTGGGGTGGAGGAGACCTCAGGGATCATCCAGTGCCACCCCTGCCATGGCAGGGACACTCCCACTGTCCCAGCTGAGCTCATCCAGCCTGGCCTTGGCACTGCTGGGGATCCAGGGGCAGCCCCAGCCGCTCTGGGAAATCCATTCCAGTCCCTCCCCACCCTCCCAGGGAACAATTCCTTCCCAATATCCAGTCTAACCCTGCCCTCTTTCTCCTGAAAGCCACTCCGTGTCCTGTCCCTCCATCCACTCTGTAATGGAATCCCAGAACGCTGGCTTTCTATTCAAATGCAACTATGGAGAAATGAAAGTATCTGCTTAAGGTTCCATACTAGAATTAAAGTTCATTAGTTGTTATATTTCAAAAATAAAATTCTATCAGAGCTCTGTAATAATTTCAAAACTATTTAATTTATAGTCAATATGAATGTGAAAAGGGAAAATGACTGGAACAGATTGGAGGAGCTTAAGTTAATACCCAAGAATCTCCTCTTCTAAGTCTTCATTGTTAGGTTTTCTGAAAGCTGGTGATAATTCCTTTTAAGTTGATAAAGTGAGGTTTCAGTGGAGTTCTGAGGAGGCTGGAGTGGCTCAGATGCTGTGGTGAGTGTGGTGGGCTCTCCTGCTTTCACAGACTCATGGAAAGGTTTGGGTGGGAAGGACCCTAAAGCCCATCCAGAGCCACCCCTGCCACGGCAGGGACACCTCCCACCATCATTCCAGGGACAGCCACAGCTGCTCTGGCCACTCTGCTCTAAGGTTTTAGAACATTTCCCCACAATAAACATCGAGACCTTCCTGCCCAGTGCAGCCTGTGGAACAGAATCACTGGAGTCACTGAGAATGGCCCCAGGGAAGCTGACAAGGATGCAGCTCTTCTGCCTGGGATTAAGCTCAGAGAAGGGGAATATCCAGCACACCTGTGGTGCTTAATAATTCCTAGCAGGTCTTTGTTAATGTCTTTCCAGAGTGTTCAACAACACTGATTTCTCTGAAGGGCTGTGGTGGAGTTATTTGAGCGTTTCAGGTCTTACTCCAACAAGTATTTCCAGTGACAGCCGTCCTGGGCAGGCTGGAGCTGCTCTGGGATGGGAATGGTGATTTGATTCCCTGTAAATGGCTCCAGTGGAGGGTTAAATTTACCCTTTCATGGCTGGGGTTGATTCATTCCCAAGCACTCACACTAGAGAACCACACACACAGCTATGTCAGTCAGGTGTGCCAGGGGGGTTTCTGTCCTGCTGCCCCGGGTGAGAGCTCTGAGGTGATGGGAACATCCCTAAACTCGTGGATTCCCAAGTGCTCCTTAGCTTGGGGTGTCCCAGGGGAGGGGGTTGAGCCCATCAATCCTCTCCTGGTGAATTCCTGTGGCTCCCACAGAAGCTGCTGCAGCTTTCCCAGCTCCCCAGGCTGTGTGAGGCAGGGGCAGAGGCAGCTCTGGTGGCTGTGTGGTGATTTATTGTGGGAAATGTAAATGATGGTTTGGATAACAGCATCATTATCATATCCAGAGCTGGGATATTTCCACAACTATCGTGCATTTCCTCTCAGTTAAATATTAATTCTCCAGCCTGGCTGTGACACACGTTGCCTCAGTGAAAACAAAGGAGCCTGAGATGTCTGGAGGACATCTTCAAACTGTTTGTTGAGCTGCAGCTCAGGCAGGTGACTCTGCTTTTGTTTGCAGAGCTTTGTTTGTTCCTCTCACCACAGCAGAGCTTCTGCATCTCTTTGGTAACGCAGGGAATTTTTAGCAGGGAGATGTTTCACAGGTTTCCTGGTTGACCCAAAGTCCATTTAAATTCTCTGTGAAGTCAGTGGGCTCGGGCAGAACTCGTCTTCAAGTTCATGTGTTGGAAAAAAGGGCCCAGTGTTCTCAGAGATAATGTGCAAAACAGAACAGAATTGCACAGAAATGGAATATCTGCTGATTCAGGTGGAAAGGGAACATTGGAGAGGTGATGATTCCTCATCTCCCAGTGGTTTTTCCCTCCTGAGAAATGTCCTGTGGTGGCTCACAGCCACCTGCCTCTTCCTGACCTAAGAAATGTCCTTTCATTCAGGGAACAGGGACAGGAGGAGAGGAAATGGCCTCAGGGAGGCTCAGGGGAACAGCAGCAGGAATTTCCCCATGGGAAGGGGGCTCAGGCCTTGGCAGGGGCTGCCCAGGCAGGTTTGGGGTCCCCGTGCCTGGAGGTGTCCCAGGAATGCCTGGCCATGGCTCTCAGGTGGACTCCATGCTCTCAGAGGAGGATTCCAGCTTCAATAATTCTGGAATTCTGTACTCCTTGATTCCCACATCCTGCAAGGTGCAGCACCAAACCCGCTGAGGAGAGTTCAGGAGCATCTTTGGTGCAGGGGAAGGGATTTCAGGGGCTCTCTCCTTAAAGTCAAGGCTTCCCCCTTTGTCCCAGGGACACAGATCTCCAAGTGATCAATTCCTCTGGGATGTATTTTCATTAAGCTCATTAGATCCCACAGGAAAATCAGTGCAGTTGTGTTTGTGTCTGTGCCAGGGGCCAGAGGCAGTTCTGTCCTGGCTGTGCAGAAGGTCAGGCACGTTTTGTGTCATCCTTTCATTTGGAATTAGGGATTGAGTTTTACCAGACTCTACTATTTTGAGACTTCTCGAGGAATTCTTCATGGAAAGGGTGTTAGGTATGAGAAGGGGCTGCCCAGGGAGGTGCTGGAGTCCAGAGGTGTCCCAGGAAGAGCCAGAGCTCTGGGCTGGGGACAGGCCCAGCTTGAACTCAGTGGTCCTGAGGGTCTTTTCCAACCTTAATGACTTTGGGATCTTTGGAGCAGCCTGTGATTTCAAACCCCAAACCTGCCATCCACCCAGGCAAACTCATTTCCCCCCCAAATGAACTAAGACAATGAAATCTGTTGTCCCTTGCCCGTGTGTTGTCCCACCTGGTGGCCCCGGGAGCTGCGGCCACGGCGCTGTCGCTGCGCGTCAGGGCCCTGCAGCTGATGCAGGAAAACACACTTCAAAACCCATTCAGCACAGCCTGTCTGAAGCTGTCAGCCTGATTTTAACCAAACATTTGTTTCTGCAGCCAGAACCAGAGAGGAGAGGTTAAATCAGGATGTTTGCAATAATCTTGGTGTCACACGTCCCTCCCGTCCGAGGGTGTCCCTGGGGACGGGAAGGAGCGCTTGGGTTTGGGTGGTGTCCATCCAAGTGAGGATCTGAGGGCACTTGGAGGTGCTCTGTGTGCTCTTCCTTGAGAAAATCCTCTCTGAAGGGAGTGGCTGGGAAGCAGTTTGTGTTTCTGGATGTCCTGTTTGTTTGGAGCTCCCTGACAGGAGGGGGCTCTGCTCCAGGACAGGCTCAGGGTGGGCAGCAGCAGGAGTTTCCCCATGGAAAGGGGGCTCAGGTCTCCTAGCAGGGGGTGCCCAGGGAGCTTTGGGGACCCCTGGAGGTCCCCAAGGCCAGGCTGGATGGAGCTTGGAGCACCCTGGGACAGTGGGAGGTGTCCCTGCCCGTGCAGGGGTGGGAATGGGATGATCTTGATCATCCTCCCCACCCAGGAGTGTGAATTTAAATATTTCTGTGCAGTTTTTATTTGGTTTGAGTTCCACCAAGCTGGGCACACTCAGGAGTGTTCTGCACTTTGTCTCTCCTTCTTTTTCTGAAAGGATTGAATCCAGCTTTCTTTGTAAATCCTTCCCTTTCCTGGGAAGGAGCCCAGTTTGGAACTCTGCTTCCAGGCTTGAAAGAGCTGTCTGACAAAATCTAATCGAGATTTTCCCTGTGACATTATTGGGTCACTAAATCCAAACTCTGAGATAAAACCTGTGAGGAAGAACGTCCCCAGTCTCCCTAAATTGAATTATGGTGGCAGATAGTTCAGATAAGTGGGTTTATCATCTTAAAATAGGCCATGAGGGAAACTATCACCCTTCAGTCAGACATTTCAGGAAATGAGGATTACTGGAAATGAACCCTCAGCAGCAGCTGATGTCTTCAGAAGCTTAGAGATGGATCAGGGCTTGTCACCAGCAGTTCTGCTTCAGCCCAGTCCAGGATCTAAATAAGCTCCTTTAATGCCTCTCTACATTAAATTGTGAAATCCCAGGCCAGGACCACGAGGTTGTGTTTCCTTCTGTCCCTCCTTGCAGAACTGTGGATAAATTGGGATTTCTTGAGCTTCTAAACAGTCCCAAAGAATACCAGGGGTGGTAGGGTGTTATCCAGACCCCTCCATGGTGTTTCCATGGCTGGTTGTTGTCCCCTGATGTCCAGAACATTTTAAATCAGTGCTTTATAAAGCAATAAATGAAGTGCCAAGGGCTGTGTGCAGAGCACAGGGATGCACTCCCAGCTTCTGCACCACTGCTCTGGAACAGAGCATCCAGCAGCTGGAACAGAGCTCCTGGATCATTGTCTTTATTAATTCTTTATTAATTCTTTATTAATTCTTTATTAATTCTGCTGTCCTCGTGCAGGTCTCACCGACACTGCTGGGGCTGCTGTGGGGCTGGGGGAGATGGGCAGGGCTCGGAGCAGCTCAGGGCTGGCACTTGGTGCCACTGGGACACAAGAGCAGGTTGTGGTGAAGCCCAGGATGAAGGGGGAGCGTGGGGAGAGGCCGTGGGGCAATCCTGAAATTCCCTTGGTGTCCCAGATGGAGCCGAGGAGGAGAAGATGGAAACGGAGACAGAGGGACAGGCGGCCGAGAAGGTGAGTTTGGGCATGGTGGCACATGGGGGTGGCACGGGGGGGGTGGCACACAGGGGATGGTGGCACACAGGGGATGGTGGCACACAGTGGGTGGCACACAGGGGGTGGCACACAGGTGGCACACAGGAGGTGGCACACAGGGGATGGTGGCACATGGGATGGCACACAGGGGGTGGCACACAGGAGGTGCCTGTGAGGCAGGTGGCAGCTCAGGGACAGTCT